TTTTTTACGCCTGTGGTACGGCACTTACTGCAAGTGCAGTAGTAATTGTTGTTCTCTCTGATCACTGACCTTGGGACCTACATTGTTATGTATAATTATGCAGTTATATCGTTATTATCTTTTTACCATGGTCATTGGATGTTGATCATCGTTTGACTTCATTATTATCTATTTTAAGCTCACGTAGAGAATGATACGGTATTCGAGCTGGTTCATGGAACCATAGAAAGAAAACTATATTAAGAGATTAAATTAATTCTTTGATAACAGAATTGTTTTGAATCGGAGTTATACAGTTCTCTCACCTATCACATGGCGCAGCCAGCAGGATTCATGGCGCAGGATAATTGACGTCGGCTAGTTCGGATCCACCGTGGATTTTTAAAATTTGGTTGGATCAATTTATGTTAGCTGTGACTGTGAAACAAAACGTGAATCCGGAAATATTATTAGAATAACCTAAGGAAGTGGTAGATGAACCCATGCCTCGTCCAGAAACGCCGGCAGAAACAGAAACTGCTCAAGCAGTAACGGATCGGGAAAACAGAGATAAGCTTAGGAGAGACAAAGTGATACTAGAAATTGAAGAAAGAAGAGAACGTGGACCTAAGGTAGGACATAATGTGTTCTACAATGAGGTTAAAAAAAGATTTACGTCTCGTCTATTTCTGGCACTAGGTACGGAGGGGAAAAAGAAATTCGTACAAAAGAACCCTCATGCGGAAGGGTAAAAACTCGAATTCAGAGAAATGATGGCAATGGCAAAGGCATCATTTGAAAAAACAAGGAACATAACTTACGAACGATATAGGCTCTTCACACGAGCACAAGAACCCGGTGAGTCGTTGGAATCATTTCACGCGGCACTTACTGCACAAGCAGCTACGGCCGAACTCGGCGGTTTAGAATAAGAGTGTGTTAGAGATCTCTTTATAACTAGAATGAGGAATACTGCATTACAAGACACCCTGACGTTTGAAACTTTCACTCCAGATGAGATCCTAAAACGGGCCATAAAATTTGAGCATAATAAACAGACTACTCAAGCGTTTCAAAGGGCCGGGAGCGGAAGCTCCGGAGTGGGACAATTGCGGGAACCTCAAATCAAGATAAAACAGGAACCGATAATGGCAGTTGGGAATTAAAATTCAAATCACAAAAGACAGAACAAAACCCAGACTCAAAAGGTTGTCTGAAAATTGTTTGGAGCTTGAACGTTTCTTCTATTCATTTTAATTTTTGCTTCTAATGATTAATTGAAAAGGCAACCCACAAGTAAGGCCAGTCAATGACTGGTATAGATTAGACATATGTCAGACTTATTTTGTGAGCAACCATGATACCACTTGATAATTTGACATCGTCCGTTTTGATATGGTTTTGTGTATGTTAGTTTTTTTTAACTGATAGAGAAGTCGTTTCAAGTTAGCAAAAAACATGAATATCAAAAGAAATATACGAAAATGGGAAACTGAAAAAAAATGCAAATAGAAACAAAGAAAAGCTTGAACGAAAGCTAGTTGCTCCATTCCTAAAAGTTCAAAGGGGCCGGATCACTAATGCAAAATAAATCTCAAATGATAATGTAAGTTGTAACAGGAATTAAATTAACATTTTTTGTATTTTTTCAAAATTATTTTTGTGTACCTTTTTTTTTATTTTTTGTTCATATTTGTCTCAAAATGAAATCTTGACGCAACAAAAACCATTACTTAGTTCTCATTCAGATTGATTGAGCTGGTTCGGGTTCTGCAAACTATTCACTGCCAAATTCAGCTCTAAAACGGTGTAAATGCATAGATTGGAATCGATGAATCAATTTCTGATCGTTGCCGCTGCCCGCATTGGTGTTACATGGATAAAAATCAATTAAATTTTTGAGTTTTTTTGTCAGTGTCTATAAAAAGGATGGAAACAATAAATTATAAAAAAAAATTTAAAAAAAGGATTATATTGCTATTGATTGGTAAAGCTATAAAATCTATTGAAAATCAATTATAATTTATTATTTTTCACTTTTTTAGATAACAACAGCGAAACTCCATTATAATCTTTTTTATCACTTTATTGAGACGCAAATTTAAAGCGCTTAAAGGTTTTCTAAGTTTTTAAAAGAAGTTGGTTACTTTTATTCAATTTCGAAATGCGCAACTTCGATTTTGTTAATGTTTTTATGTTACTCAATTTCTCAGTTCTGTTCATTTCAACAAACTTCTTAAATCAACCCTCCACACCTGACAACCTGACCCGCTACCCAACTGGACCAACTCCCCTCCCCCACTTGAACCAATCCCCCTCCTGAACTTACAAACCCACCCCCATCAGAAGCAACCCGGGTGGGTGGTTCAAGTTACGGTGGGTGAATCAGGTGAGGTTGGATTTGTTCAGATGGGGTAGTGGGCTGGACGGGTGTGGGGAGGGGCCAGTTTGGATGTGGGAGGGGGTCGAAGAGGAGGCAAACTTTGGGTTGGGCGCTGTCGTAAGGAGGCAAAGAGCAAATGTTAAATCCCCCACCTAAACCAACCTCCCCCACCACACCACCCCCCCCCCCCCACATGGACCAACCCGGGTGGGGGCGGTGGGTTGGTTCTAGCGGGGAGGGGGTACTTTAGGTGGGGGGGGGGGGCAGGTTCAGGTGGGGGAATGGTTCAGGTCAGGGGCGGGTTCTGGTTCAGATGGGAGGAGTGGTTCAGGTCGTATGTGTATTGGTTCAGTTGGGGCGGGGTGGTGGCTCAAGAGGAGAGTGTGTTTAGGCTTCAGGTGAGGCGAGGATGTTTTTTCAGGTGGGAGAGGTGGTCCAGGTGAGGGTTGGGGTTGGATCATGTTGGGTGGGCATTGGTTCAGGTGGGGTGGGGTGTTGGTTCAGGTGGTGTTGAGGGGTGGAGATTCAGGTAGGGTGTGGTTCAGGGGGTCAGGTGTGAGGGTAGGGTAGTCAGGAAGTGGGTCAAGGGGGCAAACTTTTGCGAGGGTTTTTTAAGAGGGCAATAGGGTGAACTTAAGGGGGGAAGAGGTTAAGGAAATCATTTTGCAATTGGAAACTTTTAGGTTCAGAAATCGAGAAGGCCGGTCACTCGCTTTGCAAAATTTCTGCATAACTCAATTGATACATGCAGAAACGAATCGCACGAAACGAATCAAAAACAAGACTCGTTTCAGGATAAGGTCCGGATTGTTCTGACTGCCTTTTGAGGTCTATGGAGCAGTAATAACTTGAAAAAACTGCTTGTTGTGAGGTAAAGATGAGATTTTTTGTGAAAATCGTCACCCCACACGCCATATAAAGTACACAACGATAGATTTATCTCCTAGCAACAAAATAATTATGGCAAATAAGCTTCCTTCAACCAATCTTGAACGATTTCTAAGACGGGTTAAATATCCGCTAACGCGTTAGTAGCGCAAAATGTATCGCACGTTAATTGTCCCAAATTGGCCAAAATGGCAACCTTAATACCCACCCCTAAAACTTTCGAAAAGCGATCACAGATGAAATGAATTTTCAAATTTAAGCTCAAGAAAACAGTACACTTTGTATGGTATAAAAAAACTCTGAAAAATTTGCAAAAATTGGCTAGTTAAAAAGCCGAGATCTGTCTGAAGAAAAAAAACCCACCCGAGAACAATTAATCCGTTACTTATGTTACGAAAATCGGAACCATAAAGTGGGAAAAAATCTATTAACTTGATTTTAAAAGGATTATAATTGATTTAAATTTTGATTAAAAAAAAAATGAAAAATAATCATGTTTTTAGCCATTTTGTTGTCTGAGTGCAGCATAGGATTCGATTATTTCGATAAAAATGTAGATAAAAAAATCGGTCACAATTGATTCCTTTTCACTTTTCCTTAATGCGATCCCTTTTCAATTTAACTCAGGGAAGTATCAGTGATGAATCATTGATGCAATCACAATGCAAAGTGCTCGAAAAATTCAGCTGTTTCATTGTTATCTCAACCATTAAACCGCATTATAATTGTTCATTAATATCATTTTGACTTGTTTGATTCTAACTAACACTAGCGTCAGTTTTTGCCTTGATCGTTAATAACATCGAATAATATTTTTTACCGCATGCTACAGTTTACACGTGATCCCTTTATTGAAATCGCAATATAGTTTAGACAAAACAACTGTTCGATATATGATTGCTCGTATATCAGGATAAAGCCCTGAATATTTCGACTGCCCTTAAAGTCCACATAGAATAGTTTTGGGGAAAAAAAAATTTAGAAAAACTAGAGTCTTGGGTGAAAACTCGAGTCGTACAAAAAATATAACGACCACTTAGCTAGCCTCAATTCAATTTGGAACAATCTTTGTGTGCGGGATAAATCGCCACAAATACATACATTTGCGTTACGCTTTCAGCATTATGGATGAAATATTCCAAAGGCGTATGAAACAGTCCAGAGCATGGTCAAATTGGCACTTTGTAAGTTCCTAAACTTTGCAAAAAATGGGTTTGCAAAATTTATATTTGATTAAGGGGAGTCAGTATCTTTAATGAGTCTTAGTTTTTTTGTCAAAAATTATTATTTTGATCTTCGAGATTGACTGAAAAAAAACAATCACACCAAGCATAAATCTTCAGTTTTCTTCAAAAGTCGGAACAATTGATAGGCTAACATGATGTGTCAGTGAGAATGTGTCACTGAAAACGAAGATGAAAATGGTAATTGGCATAAATCATGCCGATCAAGATAAAATTTAAAAACTGTTTATCTAATAAAAGTGCAAACTAAAAAAAAATAAAAAATGTTGTCCATGTTTACTGCGATAATGTAGTTTATTAAAAAAAGCTGTCGACGAAAATTGGTATCCACAAAAATATTAAGTATAAACAAATCCAAAATATAATGTTTGAACGCAAAAAACATATTTTTGATGTGAAGATTTGACTCGGTTTGATGAATTTTCGCGTTACAAAGTTTTCGGTAATTTTGCACAAAAATATTAAGTATAAGCAAGTCTAAAATAAAATAATGAAAGCAAACATACGCTTTTGATGTGAAGATTTGACTCGGTTTGATAAATTTTCGCGTGACAATTTTTTCGGTAATTTTGCACAAAATAGTAAAAATAAGCAAGTCTAAAACAAAATGTTTGAAAGCAAACACACGTTTTTGATATGAAGATTTGACTCGGTTTGATAAATTTTCGCGTATTAAATTTTTTGGTAATTTTGCACACACAAAAATAGTAAGTATAAGCAAGTCTAAAATAAAATGTTTGAAAGCAAACACACATTTTTGATGTGAAAATTTTACTCGGTTTGATCAATTTTTGCGTGACGAATTTTTCGGCAATTTTGCTTTCTATTGTTTTGGCAACAGACCGGTTACATTTTATACGTTTTATTGATATGTATTTACTGCTCATAAACAGCTCATTAATAATACCAACGAAGTATCACATTACAAACTCATTTGTGTCCGCAATTTTTACCTTATAACTTACTTACTTTAGAAAACTCTGTCACCATGTCACTTTGATTTCCATTCTTTGAAACGATAGTTTTACATTGACTGATAACTTCTGATTAAACTTAGACACGGAATCCTGGTACGTCAAAAATTTTAGATTATGGTGCCTGTTAGCAGGCAATTTTATCATCATTTTCATCCCGTCCCCTTCTTTTGTTCAAAACCAATTCAGTCTGGATAGTCTAGAGATAATTTGAATAAAAATACCGTCTTGTTGGACAAAACGCACCAACTCAGTTTAAAAATCTAGAAGTTTAAATTTTAACTCAATGACGCACGCACAGACAATTCAGCTAATTTGAATTTCATACAATTTAGCCAAAAGTATAAAGACAATTCAGCCTGAGACACTTCTGCCAGTTTTAAAAAACGCTAGATTCGAAAGAACAAATTAGAATTGAAACTATTTCTCGGTTCAAGGTCGCCGGTTCTAAATTATAGAGTCCTGTCATCTATTGGCAAGCTCGCAGCACGTTGGGGCGGTCACCATTATTGGCTGAACTGTCTCTGGCTGAATTGTCTGCATACTTTTGGCTGAATTGTCTGAATTTCAAATCGGCTGAATTGTCTTTGACCGAATTGTCTGGACGCGAAAACCAGTGCAGACACAGAATTGGTTATCACTTAACAATGCTCTCTATTTATGTCACTGACCAAAATCGGTCGGTCGAAACAAACTATTTATGGCTCGAACACAATTGAATATAATCTTCTTTGGTAGAAATGGTCAGAAAAATACCTTTTCACCCCTATTTGGCCAAAATACCTCCAGTCATTTTGATAAAAATTCAATAGACAAATTTATAATTACGAAAAAAAATATTGTCTGTTTTATTACAGGGTTTTTTAAGTATCATAGTGTTATAGAAACTTTCTGCAATATTAGAGCGTCAAGGAAATCCACAAAATCAATTTATTCTTGAAGTATCGGAACCATCTGAAAAATCAGAATGAGTTCAGAATGCATCGGAATTGACTTGGGGACGACTGCGTGTTGTGTAGCAGTATACAGGGCAGACGGAAGAGTGGAGGTCATTCCAAACAGTCAGGGCAACCTGGTCACGCCATCGTACGTGGCTTTCAGTGACAAACAAAGACTCATCGGCGATGAAGCGAAGGCCCAGGTACTATCTCTCATATGTATCTCAGCTGTATCGCAATAAAAAACAAGGAGTCTATCTAAACTGCTCATTTTTAGTTTTATGCTGAAAATCTTAAGCGAATTTTTTAGTCGTGGTGAATCATCCCGCACTGCATAGTCGTTCGAAATTGAATTGAGGCAAACTTATTTGTCTAATTAGTTCAGTATATGACCCAAATTTGATCACTTAATGTTTGATTTTATCAGCCTGAAAGCAGTTAAATGGCAGACAAAACATTCAAGGCTTTGACCTGATACAAGCATTTTGTTTAAATTTAATTTTATGTTGTCTAAATTAGTTTTGCGCTTGAAATAAAAAACAAGAAAAGGCTGTGGGAGTGCAATTTTGAATGAACGTCATAAAAAATGTGCCATCAAAAAGGCTAGTTGTATTTTTGGTCTATGGAGTTTAACCCGAGATAGAAATCAGATTTCAGCAATTAACATTCATGCAAATTGTATGTTTAGCGTTTGAATTTTGTTAACTACTTGCCGCAATGGAGGAGCAACTCCTTACAAGGGTTTGATGAAGTTTATTTAAATAACGCCAACCAATAGCAAGCCGACAAAATGTTTTTCTGAGAAACAAAAAACCAATCATCTAAGCATCTTATTTGACAAAATGCAATTTTTGTTTTCATGGATGACGAAGAAATTCGTTACGAGGTACCATAGGGAGGGGGAGTGTTTAACAAGATCATATAATTTGCTGCAGTGATGATCATATAGCTTGCTGTAGTTTTTTCCCTATGACGATACACTGACTCTCATGCCAAAACATTTTTTTTGTTTTCGAATACATCATTTTGGCAAACATGCAAGAAAGTTGAATGATAGCGCTTTTTATAAAATTTCTAATGGAATTAAACGATTAGCTTGTTTGGTATATGGAGTAAACCCGGGATAGAAATCAGATTTATTTAGAATGGATAGCTGATTACTGTGCAAGTACTACACAAAGTTCCCACGATAAAAAAAATTCAAATTAGGGGCTTTTTTTTTCGTTGTGGTGTGATAAAAGCAGCTGACGAAAACTAAAGATTAAGCATCTTTGGCAGTCGTAATAATAAAAAACAAATTTCAAAATATGAACAAAAATTACCAAAAAAAAACAAAAGGAATAAAAAAAATCAAATTTTTTTGCATTTTTTTTGATATTTTGAAGTTTTGAACTCTAAAAGGCTCTGATATACTGAAAAGTTTTTACTTTTGAATACAAGCTATTGAAAGCCTTTTAGCCATCAAAAAAGCTATTGTAAGCCTGATTGCTTTCTATATTTGCTCGAATTACGGGGAAAAAATCTTCTGAAAAAATCAGATTGACGGAACAATAAGCGATTTCTAAAAGAGGGAATTAGCGCTCGGAAACTTTATTTTTGTTTCTTGTTGAGTGACATGACTGGTTTCAGCGTGATTCTGCTTCATGAAACAATAATTAACTGTTATTGAAAAAGGAATTTATAGTAGTGGAAAGTTAGTAAATCATTGACATGACAGGTATTAATAGCAATAGCTACACTTGTGACTGAACCAGCTATGTACATCTCTGAGTTTTCACTGAATAAGCGATAATTATCTATGGTAGAGCAAACATGGTGGCTTGAAATTAAGATTTAAACATTTGCTAATTTTTTGCAATTTTGTCAGCTTGGAGCTGTTACCGGATTAAAGTCGCAATACGTGGAGAATGCTCGCAAAACTGCAGAATCATTCCAATTTTATCAACGAAGACAGCATCGGTTATGATTTTAAATTATTTGTTAACCGAAATGAGAAAGTAAAATCAATTAAAAATTAACAGTTTTTCTCAAAATATGATTTAATAATTGGTTAAGCAGGTTGTTTTCTTGTTCATGTAATCACAATCAACCGTTTTTTTTCAGTAGTCACTAACGCATAAGCAGCAGCAGCAGCTGTTTGACTGGTATCAATGAATAGAATGCTTTTATTCAAAGACAAAATGTATCAAGTAATATGTAGTAGAAAAAAACTACACAAAAACGAAATGAAGTATTTATAAACTGATTTTTTTTCAAGCTACGATAAGGCTAATATAATATGTTGTCTTACGATGAACCAATGCTGGGTATTATTCAACTCCGTAAACTCTGTGGCGACCACAAACAAACAAAATATTTTTTGTTTTTTTTATCTGCAAAAAAAAATCAAATGATAAGATCAATCGAAATTCGGCAAGTCAAAAATTTCTAAATAATAGTAACAAAATATGAAAAAAATTTTTGTCGAGGTTTTTTTGAAGTTGCCGAGGTTATCAGAAGTAAGAACAAGACTACCCGTGTCGAGGCAAAACCTGGACAACTCTTTTTACAGTGCTGAACAAAACGAACCGGACAAAACGAACATAATTGGAAATTTCAAACGTTTTTTTTCTAAGAGTATGAAAAAAGTTACATAACAGTAACCAGATTTGGAAAAAAATCTTCGCTTGTGTTATCAAAATTTACATTATCAGAAGTTAGGAGACATCCGAAATCACGAGAAATAAACTCATTGAAGGAGACACCAAAAAAAGTGACAATAAGAACAAGACTATCTGTATCAAGGCTGAACCTTGGAAACTCCTCGTATAGCGCTGATTTAATTTAACCAGACAAAATGAACAAAATTGACAATTTTAAACGTTTTTTTTCTAAGAGTATAAAAAAATTTAAATAACGGTAACCAGATTTGGAAAAAGTCTTCGCCTGTGTTATCAAAATTTACATTATCAGAAGGTAGGAGCCATCCGAAATCACGAAAAATAAACTCATTGAAGGAGACACCAAAAAAAGTGACAATAAGAACAAGACTATCTGTATCAAGGCTGAACCTTGGAAACTCCTCGTATAGCGCTGATTTAATTTAACCAGACAAAATGAACAAAATTGACAATTTTAAACGTTTTTTTTCTAAGAGTATAAAAAAAATTAAATAACGGTAACCAGATTTGGAAAAAGTCTTCGCCTGTGTTATCAAAATTTACATTATCAGAAGGTAGGAGCCATCCGAAATCACGAAAAATAAACTCATTGAAGGAGACACCAAAAAAAGTGACAATAAGAACAAGACTATCTGTATCAAGGCTGAACCTTGGAAACTACTGGTATAGCGCTGATTTAATTTAACCAGACGAAATGAACAAAATTGACAATTTCGAACGTTTTTTTTCTAAGAGTATAAACAAATTTAAATAACGGTAACCAGATTTGGAAAAAATCTTCGCCTGTGTTATCAAAATTTACATTATCAGAAGTTAGGAGCCATCCGAAATCACGAAAAATAAACTCATTGAAGGAGACACCAAAAAAGTGACAATAAGAACAAGACTATCTGTATCAAGGCTAAACCTTGGAAACTCCTCGTATAGCGCTGAGTTAAATTAACGAATATTGCAGTGCCCAACAAAATTCTTGGAAGGCAAAATATTTATAAAAAACGGATAAAATTTGTTTTTAATTCAAGAGGTTTAAGCTCTTAGAGAGATTCGTTGGACTAAGGAAGAGACTTCTTTTGATGAACAATTTTCATCGGTTAATATTATAATTTCAGCAATTTGCGAGATTAACTTAAAAAAGCTAACTTAACCCATTTTTTGGGCACTTTTTAAAATCGTATACTCAAATGCACCACATTATTTTAGTTAGAACTCTGCGCAATGCGTGTTATTCTTTTTTATCTAAATTTAACCCTATATTTGAGAAAATCGTGTTCAAAGTTCATTTTTTTCGTTTTGTCCGGATAATTTGAATCAGCTTTGTATTTGAAACTTTTTTTAAAAAAAATCACCACTGAATTTGAAACTTTGGTGTTTCAAAACAAAAACTTTACAAAAACTTTTGAAGTTCTGTTGATTTTTTCCCATTGGTTATTTAAAATTTAAACTGACCTTAACAGTTTCTACTGAAATTTGAAAGAAACTAAAAGAGTTTGCCTCTAACAAGTCAAAAACTAATTTTTTGCAGTTTATTCGAAAATTGACAAATTTCAACCTCCATTTCATATGAAAAATATATAACATCTACAATGTATTGTTTAAAAAAATAAAATAGATATTGAGGTTTTTCAGATGATAAAAATCATTCGCCATGTTAGATGTTGAATTTTGGCTGAACTAACCTTCGCAGGCGAAATTTTGCTGTCAGTCTATTCGAAATTCGGAACCGTCATAGCAGAATCATGAACTATAGATAATTATATATAATGATATTTTTTAATGATAATGACAAACGATCATGGCGACATGGTCGATTATATCATTAGTGACCAAGTTTTATGTTCTGTTTGATGTTCTGTTTTATAATCTGCTTTGAATGAAAAAAATCATTTTGCATATATGACTGATTAATCAAACGGATAAGTTTCTGAGTTTGACACAGGAACTGAAAAGAGTTTTTGTGTACGGTTTGAAGATAGCAGCTGTTTACATGGGTGAGGCAATGTTTTTTTCCTCCCCACCTCCCTTTATTTTAGAGGGAAGAAACGGGTCAGGAAATGTTTTCTCATCTGGAAAAACATTTTAAGAAGCTATTCCGACTTTTAAATTTTAAGTCCAGTTCAAGAAAGCCAATTCAATTTTTTTTCAGCTGGATCGAAATGTCGACAACACGATTTATGATGCCAAGCGAATGATTGGAAGAATGTCTGAAGATGAGCATCTTCAAACTGCTCGCTCATCGTGGAAGTTCAAAACCGTGGAAAGAAAAGGCCAACTTTGTTATGACGTGGTGTGCTACGGCGAAAAAAAGGTGTTGACCCCAGTACAAGTTTCTGGTATGATTCTATCCAGGCTCAAAAAGGAAGCAGAAAAGTTCTTGGAAACTTCCATTTCGGAAGCAGTCATAACTGTTCCTGCTTACTTCAACAACACTCAGAGAGAAGCTACAGTCTTGGCTGCACAAGCTGCAGACTTGAAGGTCCTTCGAATAATCAATGAGCCTACAGCTGCGATTTTAGCTCATTGTGACGATCAAAAATTTGCGACAGGAGATAAAAAGATTCTGGTGTACGACCTGGGAGGGGGGACTTTTGACATAACTATTGTAGAATGTCAGGACGAAATTTTAGAGGTTTTAGCTACGTCTGGAAATTCTTTCCTGGGTGGCCGAGACTTCGATCAAAAGCTGGCTGAGTATCTCTTCACAGAAGTTGAAAAACAATGTGGAAAGTGCGTAAAGGATAACAAAAGGGCCTTTATTAGACTTCTGCAGGCTTGCAACATAGCAAAACATCAATTGTCATCTGCAGCTTCAGCGACAATTGCGGTGGACAATCTTATCAATGGAAAAGACTTCCTCTCTAAGATCAGCCGGGCTCGATTCGAAAAACTCAATGAGCATCTCTTCAAAAAGACTTTGGACAGTATTCAAACTGCCCTAACTGATGCCAAATTGCAAAAAAAAGACATTGACGCTGTTTTGATGGTGGGTGGATCCAGCAGAATCTCGAAAATTCGACAAATGGTTAAAGATTTTTTCCCAGACACCCCATTATTAAATTCAGGAAACCCAGAGGAAACAGTTGCTCGTGGGGCTGCAATTCAAGCCAGTCTCATCAAGGCCTTTTCTGATCAGTTGATGCAAGTTGTCCTAATTGATGTCTGCCCACTCTCACTTGGAGTTCAATCCCAAGACGATGTAATGTCGTTCATCATAAAAAGAAACAGCACTATTCCTTGCCAAGCAACGAAAACTTTTGAGACAGTGTCAGACAACCAAGAGGCAATTAATTTTGCTATCTTTGAGGGCGAACGATCAATTGCATCGGAGAACAATAAGTTAGATTCTTTCAAGCTAGAGGACATCAAGCCAGGTTTGAAAGGAGAGCAGAAATACGACGTAACCTTCAGCATAGACGTAAATGGCATTTTGAGCGCGAGAGCTGAAGAGCGTGATACTGGAAAGTGTGAAGAGATAACAATCAAGCGCGAAAAACATGACCCAGAGGAAGTTCAAATATTACTAGACGATGAACAAAAATTTGCAAAACAAGACAGAATTGAAATGCGCCGAATCCACGCTAAACAAAAGCTGGAAGAATATCTCTACCAGGTTTGTTTGCTATGAGCGATAGGTTAAAATTGACATTGTCTTTTTTCGATTTTTTAATGGCGCATTCGTTTAATTTTCTTCTTTTTAGTTTTCCAGTCGATTTTTCTTTAAATCTGTTTAAGCAAAAAGAAAGTCTCGAATTAGCTGAGACCTGTATTTTGTATTTTGTATTATAGGTCATATCTACAAAGTGTCTAAACTGCACTAAATAAAAACACACATTTTATAGTATGAAAAAAAAACTATGAAGCCTCCATATATCAATACGAGCATTCAGATGAGCACGATTCTTCATACAAATATTCAGATATTAAATAGGATATAGCATTTTAAGGAAATTTCCTGTTTTTATAAATTTGTAAACTTTCTAAAACTTTATTATTGCAAAAATGAAGTATTCCCTAACATTTAAAGAAAATCCTTTTTAATCAAGTTTGCTTAAGCCATAGTGTTCTCAGGGGAAATTACAAAAAAAAATATTCAGATAGAATCCAGTTTTTTTGCAAACTACTTTTTTTACAATTTGACTCAACCGTAATTCGTCGCCTAGGTTTTATGTTTTCACTCTGTAAAAATAGTGCTACAATTGCCAAAACAAGATAGTGGTTGTGAATGAAATAACAAAAAATGAAAATGTTCCGGACATTTCATTTTTTTCAGCTCCGAAAAAGAAAAAAACCTAAGAATGATTCTGAGCTGCACAAAACAATCTCAGATGCAGAAGTTTGGCTGGAAACAAAAAATATCACTGAACAAGAGATTCAGGAGAAACTTGAAAAGCTCAAGAGTGATCACAACTGATCAAGGTGAAGTAAATTATGGAAATTCAGTAAATTTATTTCAAAACACTAACAAAAAACTAACAAAAAACTAACCAAAAACTGACCAACTTAATTCAGTGTTTTCATTATTCTTTCCAACAAGACTGCATAGAAAAAAATATGAATTTTCTAATTTTCCGTTTTTGCTTTGACCATGCAAGATTTTAAGTGTAGAGTGAGTTTAACAATTGATTTTAAAGGGTTTTTAAACAATCAGGAGCGTTAAATGACAACCCGGGTCGAGGTCCCAGACTGATGCCAAAATTTGAAAATTGCACCGCGTCCGGATCTAAAGTCCGATTTTACTGAAAGCTGGTCGCCAAAGTCTTCACATGGAGTAGAGAAAAGTCAATACGAAGTTCTAAAATTTGGTTATAAAATTGGAAAAGTCGGAAAAAATTATTTACGATTTTAAGCTTAAGAAAAGATAATAAAATCACCAATTGTTCGGACGGAGAAATCATTTACCTTTCGAAAAAAATTTAAGATCTTTAAAACTAAAAAGATTCATTTATTTTTAGTAGAACAATTCAACAAAACCGACTTGAACAAAAACAATTCAATTCACTCAATTGGATCAAACAGTACAATACAAATATATCAATTTTTCAGTAAAAAAAACTTTTAGTTTACTTGATTTCCTTTGATGAACGGTTTTTCAGTCAGATTTTTTCGTATGGTTTTATTTAGATTATTGAACGGAAAACTCAAAAGAATACAATCAGGGTTATCAAATTAAAGACGAAGATTAGCGAAAACTTAAAAACCTTAATTGGTAACAGTTAATTTTTTACTAAAAAATTGCATTTAATTGTTAGTTTATTTTTCTCTTCTCATCAAAAACTCAACGTAAATGCTCTTTTCGAATTTTTATTTTAAAATCAGTCAAAATCATTGAAATTTGACCAATTCAGAACAAATCAAGTTATCAATGGTATACAATCTATGAATAAGACAATAAAACCAATATAAAACGCCTCAAAATATAGACAATAGTGCTCGTGTATTAGTGGAAAGCCTTGAATTTTCTGACAGCCTTCCAAGATCTATGAGATAGAATTTGTTTAAGATTTAAAAATAATTATATTAAGAGCAAAACGGTTCATTTAGTATATAGCAGCAATTTAATTAGTTTAAATAGTATGACACCATCAGTTTGGAACGATTTTTAAGCCAGATTAAATCTCCGCTTACGCATTAATAGCTCGAAATATATTGCGCCTCAGTTATCCAAATTTGTTGATTTATTAAAAAATTAAAGTTTTATTAAAATTTGAGCTCAAGACAACGAGATCGTTCGAATGATATAAGCTATTCCGCCAAACATTGTTAGTTAAAAGTTCAAAATTTGTCTAAATGATCCAACCGAGAGCAAATTTTTCATCCATACCTTCGAAAGTCAGAATAAAAAACAAATACAAGGCCTTTATGTTGATTTAGAACACTTAAGAGGGTAAAAGCTACGGCTGAAATAATCGAAATGATGCGCATATTAACAATTGGTCAATATATTTAAAAAAAACTGTTTAATTTTTGTTCATGTTTTGGATTATTTGCTTATTATTGGCTCATGGATTGAAATGATTGAAAAAGTAGTATAGGGATCCACCAGGGATCCTTAGGGGGGGCTTATTTGGCGAGGCTTGTCATAATCCGCCTAAGATTCTTAAGGGGAGACCTCAAGGTTTTTAAGAGCTAAAAATTTAAACGTTGTATTTCGCCCATTCATTGCTCGAAAAAAGCTTTGATTCTATATTTTAGGATCTAAAATGTTTTTAAAGCCTCCCACTTAAGGGTTCCTCAACACAGCCGCAAAATGCGGGTTCCCTTTTGGATTTTCTTTTTGAGATCATAAAATTTTCGGTAGGACACGAATCCGGTGAAAAAAATTGTCGGAAAAAGTTTTTAAACGTTTCCATCGCCTTTTAAAACGTTCGATTATAAATTTTGGGTGGGTGAATTTTTTAAACCTGATGAATTATAAAATTTAAAAAACCTGAAATTTCGTTAAGCCTTATAAATTTAACAAAACCAAATTCTCAAAATGTTACCGATTGAAGAATTGTTTATTCGAATTCAGAAGATGCGTAAAAGCTCTCAACAAAAGAGAAAAAATAACCAGAGGTTATGAAATGATTTGAATAAGCAGAAATACAAATCAAATCCAAAAGTCTTGCAACACAACTTTTGCAACAACAATTTCTAAAATTTTGCAAATGGTACCTGTTTTGATCACAGAACGAAAACTTATTTCACTCTTTTAAGAAAAAAAACAGTTATCTGTTTATATTTTCCTATGGATATGAAAAGTTATGATAAATTTTTCACACGATATTTTTTTTCATTTTTTTTTCATTTTTTTAAACCAATATTTTCTTCTTTCTGCCGAAAACGGAGTAATTGTTTATAGCTGTTTTCTAAGGATCTCTAATTATATCTACTGATATATATGCTTGGCTAATGATCCCTATGTAAAACTAATGATCCCCAAGTATAACTAAAGATTCCAAAAAACAACTGATGACCTCTCTGTATATCTTATGATCCCTTTGTATGAATGACAGATGGGTCTAGCTGATGTAAAAATATGATGAAATGTCGAATCATTGAAACCATTTTATCGTTCAAGAGGTTTACATACCAAGTTAATGTACTAAATGAAGTAGATATACTGTTTTAAAATCAACTCGTTCCTTAAATAACCGTTTGGTTTCGATTTGAATTATAGAGTTTCATGAAATGTTCGAGATAATGACGTATAGTGATATACCTTAACGAGTAGCGTTGGAATTATTGACAGCGAAGCTCAACTGTAGCTAGTAGTAAATTGTTTCCTTGATTTGTGAACACTTTATTGGTGAAACTTCTCAGAAGATTGTTTTTTTTTCACAAAGTGCGATAATCGTTTCTAACTAATACAACTTTGATTCATTCCATAACATTGACAGAGAGTTAACTTGTGTTAAAATACAACCATTTAGAGACACCAGCAAATTGCGAACCATAACAAAAAAGAGAAAAAATTGAAATTTTGGGAAACCTTATAAACTTAAGTAACCCAAAACTCTTAACAAGGCATCGATTGAAGAACTGAATATTTGAATTCAGAAGACGGGTAAAAGCTCCCAACAAAAGAAAAAACCAAAGGTTTTGGAATGATTCGAAGAAGCAGAAAAACAATTCATAACCAAAAAGTCATGCAACACAACTTTTTCGCAACAACAGTTTCTAAAACTTTTTAAATGGTATCTTTCTTGATTAAAAAAACAAATTTCACGCTGTTAAAAGAAAAATAGTTATTTTTGTTTTTCTATGGGTATAAAAAATTATAATAAAGTCTGAAAAGAGCCCGAAAACATTTATTTAGGAGTGATAGATTTTAAGGACAAAAAAAGGGTACAGAGTAACGGAGTAACCAATTTGACTTCATTGCAAAAATTATTCCAAGCAATAAAAAAAAGTGCCAAAAAGTTGCAACAAAAAAAACTGCTGCGGCAACAAGCTAAAAACAAGTTTTAGATACCGATTTCAAAGTACGGGTTATTTTTATGGTTTGTACCTAGAATCGCATGTTCTGACTTGCTATCAAGATGTAAAGTGTACCGCTTCAAGCATTTCATGATATAATAGTTGCATTAGATGGTTGGTTCTATCGATGGTAGATTAAAATGATCTATTGAAAGTTAGGCTCTGAGGTAAAAGAGAGTCGCCGGCCACTGAGTCGAGAATCAGTGTTTGCTGGCTCCAACGACACAGTGACTACTTCAAATTTATAGTCAACGTGCACCTAGCCCAGTGCTAATTATAAAATAATGGAAGAGGCTACGAGAAGCTACCATGGGATTCACTTTGTGCAGATGATCTTGTCATATCAGATGAAAGGGGAACCGTGTCTGTTGAGACTTTTAATACCTGGAAGAGGCTTTGCAAAAACTCGGCTCAAAAATTAAGTACTCTATTTCATGTCAAAATTGTAGTCCTCAAATAGACGGAAAGAATCCATGTGTTTGTTGATTAAAAGCAGACGGCATCAATTCGGTACGCTGCAGTTCTCGTCATTAATGGTTGCCTGAGAAGTTTAGTTGTCTGGGGAAACTACATAAGCATAATAATAATTGTTCCTTCCAATTATTGCTCAAATTAGAAAATTAGTGAACGGATCAATCATTTTAAAACCCAATGGGCTGTAAAAGTGCTATGTTATCTGGGTGATATGATTTTCCGTTGAAATTGCTGCGAGGATTGGTCATAAGAGCAGCTTTCTAGACAAAATCGCGGAAAGTTCCTGTTGAATTAAGATATTGACTTGATTAGAATGTGTCACACTGTCGCAGCTTGTCTCCATCCATGTATGATTTACATTTCTGAAACTTGGGGACAGATCAAGGCAACATTAAAATTCGGTTCTTTTAAAAGTGCTGGCACGAAAGCTTGGTGTACAATTACAGGGGTCACTTATGAAGTCAGAGTTATCAGAAAGCAATAAATAAAATGACAGGTCTCGTTGATCTGGACTAGTTAAAAGTGCGCCACGGTTACGATGGTTTAGCCATGTTCACCGAACAGAATGTTTCAGTTCCAGGGAAAATACCAGACGGAAGATCTAAGAACACTGGATTGATAGTGTTACAGCAGATACTTTAAGCCTCAAACCCGAAAAACTGTTTTGATCAAATGGCATAAAAACTTAGTTGTCCTCCGAGAAAAAGCTCGAGTGGTACTTATAACGCCCTTTCTGAATCAACTCATGGTCACTTTCCGAATGTTCAATACCGCCATAATGAGAAAACAGGCAATGAACTCGGTAGTATTAGTGGTAGTCTTAAGTGTTTTTACTATGATCCATGCTTTCAAAACTAATTTACTTGATACTAAAACAATTACTCAACCAACTAACCGATTCCAATTGGATGTATCTATGTTTCAATTTTTTTGAATGTATGCAATGAAAAATGAAGTCTCGAGTGTCTTTGTAAGCATCCGTTATGATGAAACTATGCTTGTTATTGTTATTGCTTATTTGTTATTGATGTTGTATATGTGTTTTTTGTGTGTGTTTGTATGCACTTATGTGAACACGTGTAGAATGTAGGTATGTAC